TCAATACCACTTTAATTCAATACAATTGAATCCAGACAGGCCCTGCTCTCTGTACCTATCATATCACCTAGGCAACTACAGATTCTGCAAAATAATTATTTGGAATTCTGTTTGTTGTGTGAAGTTTATTGTCAATACACATCTCAAAAGAAAAGCCTGAAGAACCCCTCCAAAATCTCTCCTTGTTTATGCATTTAAAAGTCAAGTTAACTACATTCTGTGTGCATCTCAGTATCTTTTCTTCTATGATGACATCTGCTTCATTCATCACTTTTTATGTAACTCCACTAACCTAGAAAAAGTTGCTATAATCAAGGGCTGCAGTTGTTGATAGAAAATGAAAATGGTACTGAATGTCGCAGACTCTTTCTATTTCTGCGTCTTTTATCCCCTGCTAGGAGCTCTGGAATGTACCTCTTGTTTGTGTTTCAACCAGCAGCAATCAAAATGGAGAGAAGGAGGGGCAAACTGGAATAAATAGGCCACAGAGGCCATTTTTGTTTTTATCAGATTATGTTGTCTATGTGAAATGGATTCATTTCTTTAGGGCATTCAGTTGCACTGCCCAGCAGTGTAGAAGCTATTAGGATAGTACCAGCTTCACATGCATGTCAGACTAAGAAATGTCTGTCATTCCTCTCCCTCTTTCCAAACACACACACACACACACACACACACAAACACACACACACACACGCACGTGCGCATGCAAAGTCACATAAACATACCATTGCACACATACACATATTCACAGCACATGCACACACATACATGAAAACCTCATGTGCACTCATGACATTAAATTAATGAACAATCCCTTTCAAAATCCCATGGAATTGGAATCTTGGAAAGCAGATCTGACAGACAATACTTCTCTCTGTTCCAGGAATATAGCGGTATACAGAGCTACAAGTTTGTTTTTTTTCTCTCTTTCATGGACTCCAAACCTGCCGTTGAATCTCACACTAATCTATGCTAATACAGTGGCACAACATTTCTCACACATTCCATTGTGAAATGAGGTTAGAAGGACAGGCATAGAACAAAAAATTTAATTGTTTACTGTTTTGTCATTTGCATTTTGCTTTCTTCAACTTTTTCCTCTCTCTTATGTAGCTCTTGAAAGTGTTTTGTATCCTCTCTTACTTCACTGAGCATTGTTTAGTAGACTAGAATTATCGCTATTAGATTGAAAGTTCTCTGTGATACCAGAAGGGTTTCTCCATAGTAATGTAACCAGGGTTATTACCATGGAGAGTAACAACTTAGAAAGATATTCCCTGAAAGAATCAGCTGTAGGTACCCCTAGATCCCATCACAAACAAGGACCCTAAGAAAAGAATCAAGAAAGTAATGTTTAGATAGAGTTTATCAATTAATTTTTTTCTACAGTAATCATTTCGTATAAATAATAATATTATTATATTTTAAATAGCTCTGATAATGTCCCAGGGAATTAAGATGAGTAGGAATATTTTATAATCATTTTACTAGTGAAAAAGCCAAGGCTTTTAAATGCTATGAGATTTGGTCACAGTCACTGAAAATAATTGACTAGCCACAATATCCTCTTTTGTGACATGTCTGTCTGTGTCTTTTCCACTTTCTATTGGGTTCTCTGTCTTTTATATGTTTATTTCTTAGATATTCTGTAGAGAAGTGCTTTGGCTTATTTTGCTCTAATGGTTGATGCTCTGTCCTCTGTAAGAAAGTTTTGCATAATGATGTGAAGGTCTTTGTCCACATGACCTTTCACATTGAGTTCCATAGTCTACCTGGAATCTGTTTTTGAGTGTAGTGGAAACTATTTCTTCAGTATAGGTCTGTGGATACCACACTCTCTCAGCTGCATTCTCTGAAAAATATTTTAGGTCAAATTCAAATTTGAAAGTTTTTTCTTTAACATTTCAAAGATGTCATTGCATTATCTCTGGCTTTCATTATTCTTGTTGTGAATTTATCTTTAAATCTTACTGTTGTTATTTTGAAGTTAATGCATCTTTATTCACTAGATAACTTTATGTTCTTTCTTTAATGTTGGTTTTCAGTAGTTTTACAATGTTTGGACGGAGTGATAGTTTTTTTTCATTAATCTTGCTTGGGAATCATAAGAGTCATCTCACTGGTTTGAGATATCTTTCATTAATTTTGGCAAATTATCAGACATTATCTCTTAAAATATTCCTTTTGCTCTATTTTACATAGGGTAAATCTATATCATATACTTCCTTCACTCTTATCTGTGGTTTTCATCTGCAGTTTAGGCTTTATATATTTTTCTGACCAACTTTTGGCTTACTAATCTCCTCTTCAACTGTGTCTACCTGCTGTCAAAATCACGTATCAAATTCTTAACTTGTTTTGTGTGTGTGTGTGTGTGTGTGTGTATGTGTGTGTGTTTAAGTTCTAGAATTTTCACCTGACTTTTAAAAAAGTATCCAGTTATCTGATAAACTACATTTTCATAAAAATTATTCAACTTGGCATCCAATTTCCAAAATATATATATTAATCACTATTTAAGTTGCATCTGTAATACCTGGATCTCTGATGCATGTCCATATGTCATATATTTTATTCTCCTGGTTTTCAGTGACTTGTTCTTAGTCCTCTGAAAAGCCAGGTAATTTTTGTATTGAACGCTGGACACTGTGTTTGAAAAACTGTAGAGATAACTTGAGGCTTTTAATCTTCCTCCAGAGAAGATTTACTTTTGCTTCCAACAGTCAGGTAGGAAAGACCAGAGCACTATAATTCAATCAGGAATTTTATTAATTAAAAGTTAGACTTAAGGTTTTTTTTAAAAAAGCTGGTCTATTTCACATTCTTCCTTACCCCCAGGATATAACCCTTCGGGGGACCCCACTGAAAACCTGAGGTACTTAGCAGGATACCTCTCCTTGGTAGACCCCAAGTTTCAAGTTTTGCTCCCTGCCCCTAGCCTCACAAAACATCTGCAGGTTCTGTTCAACTTCTTGAGACAGTCTCATGTGAGCTTCATCAGTTTTCATGTCCTCAGGTTTGTCCTGCATTCCTGGCACTCATTTGGTGATTCTAGCTGTTCTTCGTAGAGGTTTTGTCTGGATCATGACAGCCCACCTTAGACAGAAATCCCTTTCTCATTGTAATATTAATTTGCATTCCTTTTGTTGTTAGCAAACTGAATTACCTTTTCATGTGTTTTATCGGCCATTTTTATATCTTCTTTTATTAACTGTCTTTTAAATCTCTTGCCCATTTTCCTATTAAGTTGGTGGTTTTCTTCATCTCCATTTTCAGAAGGCTTTATATATTAAAGATTTTAATAGCACTTTGTCTATGATAAAAGGTGCAAGTATTTTCCCTGAATTTGTAGCTTTTTAAACATTTATTTTCTTTTCACTAACAAGTTTATTATGTTTATAAAGTCAGATATTTCATTCTTGCTCCCTATTATTTCCGTGTTCTAAGGCATACTTTGCAAAGTTTTCCTGCTCCCGGGCTTCAGGGAATTCACCAATGGTTTCCTCTGTAATTGTGTGTTCAAGGAATATGTTGATGAGCAATTGACAAATGGCACATTTCTAGAATAGGCAGTGTGAGAAAGATATTATATAGTGCTGACAGGTCCAGCTGGAATTTCCAAGTTTTGTTTTTCCTTTTCCACCTCATTCTCAGAAACTAGTGAAAAGCACTATGGACACAGTGACTTTCATCTTGTCCTCGAAGAACTGAGGAGACCATGAGTCCTTTTTTCCCTTGTGTTATCCTTTTCCTGAATTCTTTCAACTACTCTCTTATTATGAATGTTACTCTATCTTGGCGTCTCCCAAATACCCACATGCGTAATTCATAATTCTCTCCTCATAATTCTCTCCTCAGTGCTAGATGCAAAACTTGTTTGATCTCACATAAATTCTCCTGAACTTCAGACTTTAAAATGGCTTTCTGCTTCTTTCCCCACTCTGCTTGTTTTATATGTCATCCATTAATGACCTCTCTGCCATTCATCTACCTAAGCTCAGAGCCCAGTCACCTTCAAATCATATTTCTTAATTGTCAGCCTCAGTAAATCATTACTAAGAGTACAAATTCTACCTCTGAAGATCTCTTCCTTTGAAGAGATTATAAACCGGATCTTTCCTTTCCTTGCTTCCTTCTCACCACATAGGCAGATGAAGCTTCACATACTCTGGGCACAGTAAGTAATCAAGTAATGAAAATAAATTTAATCCTCTCTTTAAAAATGTACAGGAATCATAAAACCTTTAAAATTATGGGTTTTCTAGCACTTTATATATGTATTTGTATTTACAAATGTCCTTGCTCTTCAAGTTGTAAAAACATAAGAGAGATTAAGAAGAAAGAAATGGTTGTCCTTTTGAATATCTGAAAATGTTTTTACAATATGAAACACAATTATTTTACTTTGAAGCATCTTATTAAAGCACCTTGTGAAGCTGTGCAAATAGAGTCCAGCCACAAAGGAAATCTACAAACAACAAAATTCTCAGCAATCCAAAATGGCAGCATTAGAAGTCTCCTAAGGAAACAACTAAACCATTCATTTGTTTAAAAAACAAACAACAACAACAACAAAAACTCTCACTACCAAGAGAATGAATCTTTCAGTTTCAGGCAGGCCTAAGGCAAAATACATTTTCACTTTTTCCTTGTCTAAGGTTAAGCTACATAAACTCTCTCTCACACCCACCCATGCATACAGACACAATTCCCTAAATTTAAACTGTAGGTTGTTCTGAGGAAATCAACGTTTCCTGCTGTCATGCTACCAGATTTCTGATTTGAGAAATCATATATGTAAATATGTGATCTTACAAATTAAAGAGCACTTCAAGCAATTCAACCCACTGTTTCCTCTTTTAACCTTTTCTGCAAAAGAAGTTAAATCCCAGGAGTATTTTCGAATTTTAAAGGCAATGGAGGGTGACAGAAATGATTGGCCCTCAGGCTGTTATAATTCTCTACTAATCAGGGACTGTGGTCTTTTTCTCTTTCGGCTCTAGGCAAGGACACACCTAGACTGCTTGGGAAAAGTGAAGAAGGCTCCAGTGACCTAGAAAACACTCCAGGTCCTGATGGTAAGGTTCTGAGCTATTGGAGCCCATGAAGACTACAAATCAGGCACATTTTCTATGTGTAATCTAGGATTAAAGGAGCTATCTGTTCTATAAAGCAACATATTTAGTTAGAACATAGTAAATTTCAAAAACCATTTTCTACTGGAAACTAATAAAAATGGCAGCCTCTCTCAAAAATGAAAACAAAAAAATTAAAAACCTGTTTCTAGCTATTTTTAAATAGCATATGTCTTCGTTTAATCATATCTTACAATTCTGAGGCTGCAATAGATAATTTCAAGGCTAAACTGAACTGAAATCAACTTAGTGAACTTTATGGAAGCATTACTTACTTCCGTAAAAGGTACTTAGCCTACTGTTATCCTGCTCCATTGAGTCTGGGCTAAGGTACTTAGCCTACTGTTATCCTGCTCCATTGAGTCTGGGCTAAGGTACTTAGCCTACTGTTATCCTACATTGGGTTTGGGCTAAGATTGTTCTTATAACTTCATCATTTCACTCCACTGGATCACCTTCAATGCCTTGTTTAAAAACATAGCGAGCCTTTAAAATCACCTTAAAAATAAATTTTCAAAAAAGCTTTTAAAGCTTAATCTAATTTTGTCAGCATCTAAAGAGTCTGAACCCCAGGAATATTAATAACCCCTTTCCCCTGCACAACAATGCTAAGGGCCCTTTGAAATACCATTGCTTACATTAGAGAAACAACTATTTGAGCTTAACTGATGTAATAAGTATCTTGCCATTTGGGTTATTTTAGCCAAAGGAAAAGAAAAAACAAATTACTTTGAGTTGATAATGACCTCAGAAAAAAGCCAATGGTGGATATTATTTGTAGTTTTAAATAGAATTTCCTATAGCAGGTATTCCCTGTTCCCACCAGCTTATCATCACCTGAATTGCCTCCCTTAATTATAAGCCCATCAGCTTATATTTCCCAAATTGACTTTTTACTCATGGGCCTGCACTACCCATAAGTATAATGTTTTTAAGCCCCAGACCCATCCATTAGGAGCCACCATATGTTATTTATGAGCAGTTGAACTAAATGTGCTTCAGCTTGGTTGTGATGCCGTAGACATGGTTCTTAACAAATCATATTTTGAGGAGTATCAGGCCCATGGATAAAAGGGAAGTAAATGTGGAAAATACTGAGTTTTAATCCTCACTTGGAGATTCACTATACACAGCAGACGATCGCAGGCTCTCAGAAATCTTAGAGGTAAAGAAACTTGTTTAGAGTTGCTTTTCCCAAACTTATTTGATGATGGGATGTTTCTTATACTACCATTTATTAGTAGGTTTTAGAGCTGGCATCCCTTGGTTGGAAGAAGAAACAGAACAGGAATGCTCTCCTGCATTTTACCCTGCACATTCCCACACTGAGAAGGGTGAACTTACAATAACTTTTCGGACCTGGTTGGACGGCAAATGAATGCTTATACTTACATAGGGTTGCTGCATCTGGCCAATTTATTTATTGGGTTTAAAATGAGTTCACACATCATTAGAAACTCAGGACAGTTTGCAAGTGAGAACAAGGAGACCTGCTTTTAAAGCCTTCCTTATTGGGAGAGAGTTTGGTGGACGCCATATAATGTCATTCTCTCTTGCAAGCCTCTTTGAAGTGTGAAAGTCAGCACCTGCCACTATTTAAAAAAGAGATTTAGGCTGTTGGTTTTGTACCAATAAATGAAAACCGCCCAGATGAGGAGAAATAGTGGTTACTTATTCAAAGGTAACTATAACAAGGGAGGCCATTATCACTTGTGTTTGGCAGGCTCAAATGTAAGCAGGAGATGGGAAACCCCCCTTTATACATTAAAAAAGAGTTTGCTATGTTGAATGAGCTTCAAGCATCCTCTGATTGGAGATTGTTGGCATAGAGAAGCTGGACATGGCTAACTGGAAGTGGGCCACCTTAAGTGACTGTATGAGGGAATACATTTGGCTTTCCTTGGTTGGTCCCAAGTTGGAAGCAGGGGCAAAAAATGGGCACACTGACAGTCACTGACTGAGTCCTTACCATTCTGAGTCTGTTGCTGCTGAGACTGTGTTTTGGTTGCCTAGGCTAACTTCTACAGAGGTTTTAAGTCAGAATTCTATCATTATATATGATCTGGCCATTGTCTATTTGTATATTCAGTCTCTCAGCTTATAATGTGGGCTTTGATGCTTGAAAAAAATATCAATCTAATTAAACCTGCTGACCCTTGGAAATTTGTCAAGTGAATGCTATGGTTGCTCTGGGCTACTTCTGGAGAATGGCAGTAATTATGCATTCTATTTTTATGCAAATGCTCACATAGAATACACTGAGTCAAGTAAAAGCACATGTTTTATCACAATTAGGGGATCTGGCTAGATGGTCTGCTTTTTTATTTCACGACTGCCCACTGCCACTGCAGCAGCCATTGGCAAGTCTACAAGGTCTGTTTTGATTTCTGAAATTGAAAGTATGTCAGACCAAACAGGCCTGATATTGACATTTTGGAGCGAGCTGCTTACCTCTCTGCATGTCAGTGATCTGCTTTGCTTTGCCTTCTCTCTTTATTTTCTTAGATATTAAAGCCTTTGAATTTATCCAAGAATTACAATATGTACATCCAAACTGTCAACACAAAAATCTGGTCTGAAAGGACAAATCAGTTTCTACAGTTGAGTGAAGAGCAATCCTGCCCTCCTCCACTATGTTAGGCCATTTTTGTGTTGCTATAAAGGAATATCCAAGACTGGATAATTTAAAAATAAAAGAGGTTTAATTGTGTCATGGTTCTGCAGGCTTTACAGGAAGCATGGTACCAGCATCTGCGTCTGGTGAGGACCTCAGGAAGCTTACAATCATGACGGGACGGGAGGGAAGCACGCATCTCACATGGCCAGAACAGAAGCAAGAGAGAGAGAGATGACATGTTACACACTTTTAAACAACCAGATCTCATGTGAAATCACTCATCACTAAGGAGATGGCACTGAACCATTCAAGAGGGATACATCCCTGTAACCCAATCACCTTTCCCCAGGTCCCATCTCCAACACTGGGGATTACATTTCAATGTGACATTTGGAGGGGACATCTGAGGTATATCCTCTACCTCCGCCAGTAAAAATCTACAAGAATTGTTCCAAAATCTTGAAAGAATGAAAACAAATGGAAAAGAGGCATCAAATAGGAAATCACTAAAGTGTCCAATCACAGGCCATTTTAATGTGTTTCAGAGATTTAGGTTTAATGAATATTTAACTTTTTTTTTTTTCTGGTGATAGTTGAAATGAATACTCAGGTTGACAATGTAGAAGACCCAACAGAGAGTCAACAAGAAGATCAACTAATAGGTAAGATGCCCCCTGTGGTGAGATTTTCAATGGATCAACCAGACCTAAGAGCTATTAAATGACTTATTGGATTTCCCTTGGTTTTGCCAAGTTACCACAGCATGGCTTGAGATAAACTTTGAAAATCTTGGAACCAAATAACACAGTGTAAAGAGAAAGGATTACCCCAGAAGCTTCCAATTCTGAAGGAGGAAAGATGACTTACAGCATATTCAAACCATGCATACCCTGGTTTTCTATGCTTTGACAAGAAAAAAAATGTTTCATCTCATCCCCTGGCCTCCTGGAGTGATCAAATTATTTCAGAAACTCCAAGCTGATTCTGAAGCATTGCTTTTCTAGAAGCTACCTGCTGAGTTCCTTGGTGTAGCTGTCTTTAAGCATAACATTCAGTCTTTGCCCTGGAGTGTGTATAAAGGAATATGAGTGTGTTTAGACAGAAACAAGCCCACTGTAGGTCCTGTTTTTTCACACGACTACCTGTGGACCTGTGCATCTGCACAAAGGTTATGTTGAATGAGCTTCAGGAAACTCCCAGGGAAATAAAATCCCTGGTCCAGACCATGTTTAGGAGTTTTTCCAGACCAACATTCTAAATCTCTCAGTAGAGACTAAAGTATATTTAGAATGATGAGTGTGACTGAGACCAAAGCCATACTGCTTGCTTCATGGCAGCCAATATATCAAGAGACAAGGCGCTGAGGCAAGGAAGGTGACTTTATTCCAGGAGCCAGCAAACCAAGAAGATGGCAGACTAGTGTTCGAAAGAATCATCTTAAGTTCATAGAATTTTAGTCTCCGTTTATCTTAGAGGTAAGGGAAGAGGGAGGTGGCTGAGGTCAAGAAGATGACAGATGACAGATATCTGGGCTGCAGCAAGGGTCCAAGGGGGAGCTGTGAAGCTTCTTTGCCATTGGTCAGGTCACAGTGCTCCTTTAAATCTTTAACACAATGTTGTTACTTGTGTGCATACTCTCTTTATCTCTTTGGTGGTTAGTTTTGGGAAGGGACTATTGTCATCTTTGCTTTAAACTATAAACTAAATTCCTTCCATAGTTAGCTCACCCTACATGAAGAGATAAGCAAAAGCAATTAACCTAACAATATCACTGGATGGGAGCAGAGGGGATCAAAATGGAGCTAGTCATGCTAAGCCTCCTTTACACTACTACATGAGTGGGCTATAATCCTTTTCCATACCCTGAGGGCTGATGAGAAGAATTAGAAGGAAATTGTGCTTGCTGTTATAACCGTTCCAACTCCTGGTTTAAAATATTTAGTGGGAAAAAAAACTATTGAACAAATGAATCATGGGCCATCGAATGGAGGGCACAAATGATGTGTTGATACCCTTGCTCCCACACCTCCCTGCACTTCCTGCATGTTCTTGTTGGTTCTCTACACTCTCATAGGAGGCTTGGCTGTGCCAGCATCACGAAAGAATAAAGCCTGGGAATGTGTGAAAGAATACATATCTTATTCCTGTGTGGTCCTGAACATCATTTAAAACTAAATGTAATGGTATCTGTGTAATGCATGTACAGCATAAGACTGCTAAAATGTATAAGCTCATACAAACATGTTCTTATAAACATTTCTCCTTTTTTTTTTTTTTACTTTCTTTATGTATTTAAAATACCCTGCTAAGCTACAGAAATGATATGGTTGAGAGGTTTCCATTAAAAAGTAATGAAGTGAGACTAACCCTGAACAATTTAAATGCAAGCTCCTCAGTGTTTCCTTTCCTTGTAACCTTTTGCTGCCAATAAACTATAGACTTCTTGTTTAGAATTTTTCTTACAGACATTATTACTTTCCTGTGTGACCAGTATCCAGACAAAGTGCCAAGATTAATCTGTTTTTCTTGGTTATCAAAATGATATTTTTCTTGAAATTAAAAATGAATCTATATGTTGACCCAAATTAATCAGATGAAAAAACTATTTTTTTTTTTTTTGAGACAGTGTCTCACTCTGTTACCCAGGCTACAGTGTAGTGGCACAATCTTGGCTCGCTGCGACCTCCACCTCCTTGGTTCAAGCGATTCTCCTGCCTCAGCTTCCTGAGTAGCTGGGATTACAGGCACATGCTACCATGCCTGGCTAATTTTTTATATTTTTAGTAGAGATGAGGTTTTGCCATGTTGGCCAGGCTGGTTTCGAATTCCTGATCTCTAGTGATCTACCTGCCTCAGCCTCCCAAGGTGCTGGGATTACAGGCCAGGTATCAAAACTTAAAGTGCAAAATTAGTTTAAGGAAACTAAATTCCAAGAAGGAGAAATAACTTGCACAAGGTCACCTGGCTAATAAAGGAAAGTTTAAATACTTCAAATTCAAAATTCTGCTCCCTAAACAACAGCGAGTTTCTGAACACAGTGGTCACAGAGGCAGAAGGAATGATTTGTGCAACGTCACTGAGTCCCACAGCAATATTTACACAGAAGGGTTTGTTAATATGATCTTGTTATTTGACAGAAGGAAGGAGCCTGTGCTCCATGAATCATACCTTCAAGGAAATTAAAGAAATACAGTGAAATAGAATTAGAGAGTTCAAAGACATAATACAAGAATGTTTTGCATTGTATAATTCATAATTGTAAAAAATCAGGGATACCATAAGGATACAACAGGGGGAGGGTTAAAGGAATCAATGGAACACTTTCCAAATGTAAATGTTTTCCAGTGAGTATTTGAGGGCAGTAAAGATGGTTATGGAAACTGAACCTTTGGTTCTAGAGAAACATGGAAGACTGAGTGTGGCTTCTAGGTTGAACTTTAAGAGCTCAACCAGACACTTTGGAAGAAGCCCATGTTATCCTATAGAATGAAGGAGGTCACATGGAGAAAAGTCCTAGAAAATGAGAGGCCCTTTCAGATGTTCTGGCCCCAGCAGGTACCACGTCAAGCACATGAACTATCCCCCTGAGTCCAGGCCAGATAGTAAAATCATGAGAAATAATGACTCATTCATGTTACAAGCTACTAAATTTTGGGCTTCAGATTGTTGATACAGAGTTGGGCTTTATGACCACAGTCTCGGATTTTAATGCCCATCTTGTACCTTGAACCACTCAAGGTAAGGAGCTGGAACTGATGCCTCCGCATAAATAAATCTGGGACTTCCAGCTCAAGAAAGTAACAGAAAGACTTGGATCTGCACCAGGCATTCATGGGGAAAGAAAAAGGCTCCCATGATAGAGAGAAACCACATTATTCAAACACTGTGAGTTTGAAACACAAATTTATGTGATCAAAAGTCATGCAGTAACAAACAAATTGAAAAATTAACTTAATAATTGATTACAGACCAGTGTGATCCTTGGTGTATGTGGCAAATGGAAATATGAAACTAACCCATGGAATTTCTGCAAAAGAAAAACAAATTCTGAAGTCGAATTAACAGTTTGAAGACATGCAGAACACACAAGGAAATGATCCATTTTGAGTGTGAGTCAGGAGGTGAAATTGCAGGACAATTAACACTATGAGAATGTAAGAGAGTCGGAAATTTTGAAGATTTTATAAAATAACTACATTTGGATGATGAAACAGATAAAAGCAGATGTAAAACAATTAGAAAAGAGCAACACTAAAACATTAACAGCAATTGAATAAACAAATTAAAATGCAGTAATATAAAAGACGCATGGAGAGACACGAAGGACAGAAAGAGAATAACCAAGACATGTATGATTCCATTTGTAGAGAGTTCTAGGGCAGAAAACAACTAATTTATGGAAATAGACATCAGATCATTTACTCGTTCCAGCAGAAGTGGGGTAGTAGGGAAGGGAACTTCCTGGGGTGATGAGATGATGTCTATCTTGATGATGGTGTGGGTTTAATGTATGCATTTTTCAAAACAGATTGAAATATATGCTTAAATATGCATGTTTTCCTGTAGGCGGATTATACCTCAATTTTAAAAATCCAAAAAAAAAAAATAATAATGAGTATAGGCTCTTCCAGGGCACAATGTCTTCTTAGCATTCTCTCATGGGAAGTGAACAAGGCAGATAATTTAATAAGTACAGTCTCAAGTGGTGGCGTAACCATCAATTACTTTTGCAAAGCAGCATTATGAAAATTGTTATTATTTAGATGCAGATCCCTGGAAACTAGAGTGTGTGCATGGGCCTGCAAAGGGAAGCCACATCAACTCAGGGTTACAGTTTTCAAAGAATACTTTGAAGAATTGAGTTAGTCGTCCCCATGAGCCAAAGCTCATTGTCAATGTGGTATACATTTATTAGCAGTGATTTATATGCTCTTTAAAGATACCATGTGCCAGCAATTACAGCTCAGCTATCCAAAGCTCTTTGATAGTCAAATAAGATATTCCTGGGCCCATGTGAGGGGTGAGAGACATTTAAATGGCTGTATTAAAAAGGTATTCCTTGCTAAGCCTGTGAAGATGTCTTATCTTTAATCTAACAAATGGCTTCTCTTTGTCTTCTGCAGGGGCACAAGATGAAACCAAGGAACAAAGAAATGGAACTAAATGACAATCCTCAGCATCTCAAGGCCTCTCCTGGCTCTGGGGGAGTTCGGGAAGACAGCAGCACACGCTGTGGAGGAGGGTGGGGGTGGGGGGAAGGCAAGTCCCACGGAAGGATGGGGAATCCTTTGCTCTAATTTCTCCAGCTGCATTATGTTTCGTTTATCTGCAGAAAAAGAAAGAAAAAAAAAAATGAAAAAAAAAATGTTTCCTTTAATTTGGTGGAGGGACCCATGTTAACGCATCTTTCAGGCATTATCCTTGTCATTTCTGTCTTTTCTCTTACAACTTGGCCCCAGGGTCACAGTGGCTTGGTTGAACACACGTGTATCCTGGCCCCTGTCTGCTTTCTTGGTTATTTCACAAAGCTGGTCACACAGTGGTTTCTTCAAAGGAAGGGGAGGAAGACAGTGGTTTGATAAGCTGCAGGGTAAATTTTAGGAATCAATGAGCCCAGCAGCAATATAATCCCCAGGCAAAGGGGGCAGGATAGAAAATGAGCAAAAGCCTCGGAAACCACTTGGAAAAGGTCCGGACAATGAGGTGAAAATATTTTCTTCAGGGATTCCCAAGGCACAGTTTGTTCCATGTGGTTAATGAGAAATATGGAAGCTATATTTTCTCCAGGGCAGAGTGCAGAGGCATAACCAGAAGGGTGGGCCCTGGCAGCCATCTGGGTCTCTTCCTTCCTAACCAGAGCGGCAGGTGCATCCTTCTTTGACACTGACTTTCGGCAGAGCTTATTTGGTTCATGAGGTCTTCACATGGAGACCACCAGTGAGAGGTGACTCTTTGCTGCACAACTGTAAAGGATGGCCTTTGCTAGGTGTTGCAGTTGAGAGCTAAGACAGGGGCACTGCAGTTAGGACCCAAACATATGCCTATGAATATCAGAAGCTCCTCTTGAAATCTCTAGATGTTTTCCATAAAAGAACATCCTGTCTTCACCCAAGGCTTGACAGCCCACAAACTGAGGCTCATTAGAGGAAATTAGAGCTTTTGTTTGCAGTTCTGTCTTCCTGGTCTGTATTTAAATGGTGTTACTTGTTTATGCCAAGTTCAAGGCTGATTTGATGGTTGGTCCCCTCACCCAGAAGACACTGAAGGGGAGGATACAGCCCTGAAGGGGAGCAGCAGCACTAAAATCCCAAGATGCCAGTGGTAAAGTGGTCACAAGGGATGGCGACTCTGAGGATGCCAGGTGTCGTCAGCGATCTCTATCCCAGAGCCAACATAAGGCCAGATGCCTGCTTCCCACAGCCTCCCTGGGTTCCAAAGTCATGTCATTGTTGTTGGAAATATAACATTTGTTGCATATCTTCTTAAATCCATCTTCCTAATAAGGGCTTTAGAATTAAAACTTATTTATATTGTTTTTCCTAATAGAGGGAGAAATATAATGGATTGAGTATTATTTCTGAAATAAGAGGATGTTCTGCTTTCTAAATATCCCATCAAATTCTTCAGTTTTGCACTTTTTTTTATGGAAAATGTATCTTCTTATTTTCCTATGACTTTGGTTTTAGCCTTTCTGAAATTGTTACTCCTTCTGCATGGCTTATTTAATATATTGGAATAGTTAACAAGTTATACTTGGGCATAAGCAATATATTCTATCTAACACATTTTTTTAAATAAAATTAAGACATCAGCAGCAATGACATGCATGTGAGCTCATCATGTGGGATCATGGCCTTCATCTGTTGTTATTCCAGTTTGATATGGAAGCACCTATATCCTCTATTGCCATTAGATGTTGCTTTTTAGAAAAGCAAGGAAAGGCTCATTTTAAGAAATCCAAGAAATGATGTCATCCAAACATTGACAGTTTCTATATTTCATGCCATCTTTATAACTCAGTTGAAACTTGCCATCATTCTTGGGGAGTGTTTGACAAGTGCAATCTGCTAGAAGCTTGTTTTCTTGTGGCTCCAAAATGTTAGTGCTACTCAGCCTCAGTAATAAGTTACAATTGAAAAAAAAAAATAGGAGGAAAACAGAGGGACAGAGATTTTCAGATGAACAATGATAGAAGAGACCTAATGTCCTTGCTAAAAACAGCCAGGATGGGAATCATCCAGCCCTAGCGTTCTCCTGCTCATCAATGACAGTCATTTTATTCATTTACTTTAAATGTGGGTGGGGTAGAAGTGGAAAGAGGGAATTCTCTGCCTAAAAATTCTAGAATAATATAAGTAATCTTTGTATCCAGAAAACTAAGAGAATGAGGAAAAAATATCTTCAGCCTCACTTCTGAATTGGTTTAATCTTCACTCTATAATTAGACTGGGTTTTCATTTTTGCTTCGTCATACTTTTTGGTTGCTATTTGGCTATACAGTTTTATGCTTTTAAAAAATGATAAAGTTAATTTCCAATTCAATAGTGAAATATTAACAATCTAACCATGGCCAGATCAAAGACACCTGAACACAGAAAACCTTTATTTGCTGGTGCTGCCATTGCACAGGTTGTACAATGGAATTGATCTGAAAAGCTGACTGACTTTCCTGCACATAAATTCTGGATGTCAATTTCCAACCAAACTCCCATCCAGCTATGTGGCATGAAGGGTTACAGGAGGGAGGGAGGAAAATAGCCCTGTATTAGTCATGTTTGCATACAGAGGATCAAAGTAGGCTTCCACATAATAGTTCTAATTAAAATGGTCCTCGCTGTAGGAGAGACAAAGGGGCTTTTCCTCTAGCTGGTAACTATTCAGATGATAGACAAGTCTTCTTTCATAAAAGCTTACAAAGAAGGCATCCGAATCACTGTCTGTGATACTGGGTCACATATTAATCACCGCAGCTAATTGTAAATCTTTCTATGAAACACTGAAAAGCCTCTTTGTGAATTAATACAGTTCTGCTTGATGCACTTGATATGAAAAGACATTTCTCTGTATGTGGTGCATGTCGGCTTTGCTTTGAAAAATAACAAAGTTAGCAGAATATGTTCAATATATTTTCTTGGGGAATAGGGTTTTTATCACATGATTCATTAAGGATTTGCCTTACCCTGACATTTGTGATACAAAGGAAAAACAGAAAAAAAAGTAATTTTCTTGATCAAGATATGTTTTTACTTAATGCAAATAAATGTAGTCTGTTGCTTGCAAGGAAAAAAATGGCTTCTGATATCTGGTATAAACTGCTAAATAGGATAATACGTGCCTCTTTTGTTAAACTAGCATTTAAATGCTGGACTGCATCTAAATCTGTTTGTTTCTTTCCATCTGTGCCATACACGAAAAAACAACTGTTGCCTTCATACTATATTTGTTAGAGCAGAATACAAATAAAATTTGAGAGGATAATGTGAAATTATCTGTGTTTTGTGAAATTTGTTCTTTAGCCACAAGCCCATGACTAACTAAAAATACTCACTTAATACTATCTGATTACAAATACATATATTTAAAATTATTCCTGTAAGTCAACTTTAACTTACTGATAGTTTTCCCTTACTAAGACTGGTCAGCGTGTTGGCCGTGTTTTTCAAATTTTAAACTATAGAGTAGTTTTGTATACATACAAATCCCAGTGTCTAAGTTTTCTCTGAATACCAGGTAATTACTTACCGTAGCATCAGCCTCTAAGATGCAAGATACAAGTTGCTGAGATAAAGCCAATGGTCCTGTGAACAGTGGCCTGTCTTTCAGAATCCATCACCATTGCTGGAATTTTTAGTGAGCACCTTTTATGAGCCAGTCACTGTGCTGCCTATACACCCAAGGCAGCAATGATTCTCAGTCTACTGTTGATGGAATTGACAGGATTACGGAATTGTTAAGAGCTTAGCAATGGGCCACCAAAAAATCACCACAGGGAAAACCCAATGTTCTTTTGAAAATGGAATATGCATTCCACCAAATTTAGTTCCCTTCATCTCCAACAGAATGGTATCAGGGTTATATTTGAGGAGGCCATAAAGAAAGCCACCCCCTTTATCAAACAAAGACAAAGACTTAATAGTTTAAGGATAATAAGGTTTTTCAAACTGCTGTACCAAAGGAGTATTTTTCCTGTAATAAAAAATGTTGGATGAGACAAAAATTATAGATAGGACAGTCTTATGCTTCAATGGGCAACATCAACACAAATGCTTCAGAATAGCAGTAAAGATAATGTGACGTGGCTGAGCGTGGTGGCTCCCGCCTGTAATCCCAGCACTTTAGGAGGCCGAGGTTGGTGGATCACCTGAGGTCAGGAGTTTGAGACTAGCCTAGTCAACATAGAGGGACCCTGGCTCCACTAAAAATATAAAAATTAGCCAGGCGTGGTGGAGAGCACCTGTAATCCCAGCTACTCAGGAGGTTGAGGCAGGAGAATTGCTTGAACTCAGGAGGTGGAGGTTGCAGTGAGCCAAGATCGTACACCTGCACTCCAGCCTGGGTGACAGAGCGAGACTCTGTCTCAAAAATTAAAAAAAAAAAAAAAAAGATAATGTGACATGATGCTAGCCCTGCTAGATGCAGTTTTTCATCTCCAGCAAATTTTTGTATATCTGCCCGGCCCTCTTATGTTTCTTCCCCAACATTTCTGCCCCCGTGGCTTGCATCGACTGAAGGTGCCAACAAAGATTGCTGAACTCTACTGCTGGTTCTCAGGGATGAAAGGGATAATGGTACCAATTTACTGGCCCAGCTGTGGGATTTTGAGAACTAAACTGCCTCCATTTCTTGGTTTAGAAGATGTAAATACTAATACATACTTGAACTTTCTTACAAATGTAAACGTGAACAAAATGCCAATCGTTTGGAAAAGCACTTAGTAAATTACGAACATCGGATTATGCTATTTGGTACTGTTGGCAAATTGTCCTTTCTTTAGCTGAGGATGCTTCACCAAAAGAAGAAATGATTCTTACAATTATTTAGTAATTGTGAAATTTTATTCTACTGAAGTTGATTTAAACTTTGCCCTCAAGTTAAGGACCCATGAGGTGAAGAGAAATTGTTTTGCTATCATTTAGAGAAGTGGGAAATTTGAGGTCTTAAAACATGTACACACTGACAAAAATACGGATGGCGTGAATTTTTTAAACTCATCTTTTCTCTGATAATAACTAGCCAATCGGTAAAGAAAAAAGGCAGTACACTTCTCTCTACTTCTTAGTTCACATGTATAGAAGGACGTACATTTGCAAGGAGATAACTATACCAATAGTCACTTCCCTTCCCCCGGGGAGGATTATACTTCCTCCTCCTACTGAACTTGGACATGGCTGTGTCACTTCCTTTGTTCAATACGTGGGCAGAAATGACATGTGTCACATCAGGCAGAAACATGAA